ATTGATAATATCGTAAGTCCCATTGCTATCAGGGATTGCATTCAATTCCCAACAAATTTTTCTGCAGACTCTACCCAAGCACTTCTGTCGCATCCGAGTTCTTGATAGCTTCCACTGAACAGCAACTTCTCTAGCAGCTCCCAGGTCTTATGGCATGCCTATATCACAGCAATCTACCATATATAGCATGCCCGCATTATTTGTCTAGGTGTCTGCTGATCAGCTTTGCAAGTGCCTTGTCGAAGGTGTCGCCTGTCGTTCGTCTCGTTTGTCGCTTGGGGTAGGCGTCTCTCTCTCTCTTTCTCTCTCTACATTTCCCTCACCCTATCTCTTTCTCTCTAGCTAGCTGTATGATAGTCTCGTTTGTTTCGCCTGCATTTGGAAAAGTCAGAGCTTAATATGCTTGTGGGTGTTATTGTGGGTAGTTAAAACTATTTTCGTCACAGCAATCGACGCATTCGCTTTAAAAGCTCATCAATTTTTGTAATTAGTGTAGTTCTCGACTCGGAGATGTGTCTCTGCTGCTTACATAAGTGAAATAAGACACACATCTACAAGCTATAAGTAAAAGTTGAGAATATATATATATGTATATAGGAAAGTTAGGTTACTTTTACAGTGTTGGCTATCGCTGAAATGTTTTTCTTTCCTATTCGGAACTGTCGCACACGAATGCGCAGCGGCGAAAAACTTTAAAAGAAAATGAAAATTCCCAAAGGAAGCATAGATAATGAGCACAATGCCACCCCAGTGAAAACTCGCCCAGCCGGAGTCGAAGTCATTTGGTCGACTCGTCAGTTGGCCAGCTCGTCAGTTGGCCAGCTTGTCAGCCCGGCTGGGTCGCCTTTTGGCCACGAGTGTCAGCCATTTTGCCAGTGCCACAATGCCAGCAGCGGCGTCCAAGCATATTGCCATTGTGCCTGCTTCTCCACTTGTCTTTCGCCCCGTCTCGTCTCGAGTCGACTCTCTCGACTGGGTCGCTGTTAGCGTCGACGTCGACGTTGGCGTCGGCATTGCCTGTCTCTGCTTTTGTTTTTAGCCATTGTTTGTGGGGGCTCTGTGGCTGCCGCTTTTGCAACATTTGAATGATTCTCGTTGGTCGTGTCAGTCCCACGGGTAATTATTGACACGGTTGTATGCACGCAGCCCAAAAATACATACACAGAGAGAAACTGAGCAGCAGCTACAACAACAACAACAACAACAACAACAACAACAACAACAACAAAGCGAGCACAAAAGCTTTGCCACGCGAAATAATAAAAAAGCCAACTCGAAATAATAATGAAAATGTCGGCATCGCTTTGCGGAAAGGGAACTGCGACGAACTATGTTTTGTGAGCCGGACCTGAGGTGAGGTGGTTGTTGAGGTGCTGCCCCTGTTTGCCAGCAGCAGCGGGAGGGGGTGGTTCTGGCTGCGGCTGCGGCTTCGACTTCAGCTTCGATGTCGGTCGCACTTAACACGCACGGCCACATTAAAACCAATGAAAACTACAATTTGCCATCTACATTTTTATCATATATGCCCATAATGTGAATAAGCATTTATGGCCCCCTTGTGCTGCGGGCATTATAACTATGTCACAGGGCTTGACACGCGGCAAAGAGTACTCGAAAATACCCTATATGTATACAAATGTGGGCTACCTTTTAATGTGTTTAGGTTGCGGCATAGTTAATTGTTTGTGCCCTGTTCTAATGCCTGATTTATTGGTTAAATGAAAGTGCGAAGGTATTTGGAATTGATATATCATATATGTGTGAGGCCAGAAGCTGAATATTGGCCCATATTGATGAATAATTGAACTAAAATCTGAACTTAGATCTAAGTTAAAGGAAACTTTAGCTAGAACTTTAATACAGTGAAGGATACTTGAACTGGAAGCAAAATATGGGCTTATATTGAAGGATACTTGAACGAGAGCTAGAATATATAGAACTATATTGAAGGATGCACATCTAAAGACATATGCTGGCCATTCCATTTAAATAAATATATTTCCCTGTTATTTTAATTCCAAATATATTACATTTCCATAACTTAATCTTAAACTGACCCTCGTTCTAGTAAATTCAAGTAGAGCATGCAAACTTCGTTCTGCTACGGTCAAACTTGACTTCTGGTTAGTTAGTTGAAAAAGTTATTTAGCCTAGGGGCAGGTTTTATCTATGTGGGTGTGTTTGCAACGTGCTATGTGTGCGAGTGTGTGTGTGTGTGTGTGCTCGCACAACAACCCCAAAATGGCAGGTGGCAATAGATATATGCTTAGGCACTGTAGGCAGCCATGTTTTTTTTTATCACATTTAATTCCCTTCGCTTTCCTTTTATTTTAGATAGTAATTAAGAGAACTGCCTATAAATATATTGTTCAAGAGCACGAGGCGCAGCGCGTGGGCGTTTTAGAGAATAAAACACAAATTAGAGAGTTGACTTAAAACAGAACCAACAACAGGTTCAAATTAAAAAGAAATATGCACACACTTTGGCAATAATAATAATAATTTTCGAGTGTTATTTTGTTTTGATAAAACATGAAAGCCGACGCATAAATACAAAATATTGCAATTACGCTTCTGTATTATATATATGTAATATATATATATATATATATATATATATATATATATATATATATATATATATATATATATATATATATATATATATATATCTGTACAATTTTGTTTTGGAGGCCTCAAACTGGCTTTCAATTATGCGCATTTGCAATTTGTTTGTTTTATTCTGCATTTAATTTTTGTTTTTTATTTATTATTTTTATTATTATTATATTTTCGACTTAAAAACGTTAGAGGCTGATGCAATTTTTATGCAAAATTACCAACCGAAATATTTTGTGCATGAAATTTGTAATCAGCTTCCAGAGAAATATGCAAAATAATAAATGCATTTAAATTATGGGCTTAATGCAAATAACGTGCACCACATTCGCGCAAAGGGCAATGAGCAGACGAATACTATAAAAATAACAAAATAAAAATACTATAATCGGAAGTTAATAAATTATAAATTTAACAAAGTAACGAAGTAATTTGTTGCTAAGTAAGTCAGAACGGCAAGACCTGAGTTTATATTTGTTCAAATAAGAAATAAAATGACGTCGCGCGGCTTAAATTAATAAATTTGGCAAATCTTTTAATAATTGTAATAATTTCTAATTTAAACTTGTTTCTGGCTTCACGAAGATTTAATCCCTGAACTTTGAGCTGAACTTGCCAATGCTTGGCAAATTGCGCTAGGTTTGATCTGCAATCAGTCAGTTATATATCTAGTTTATATGGTTGTAATAAATCAATATTTAATCGGTGTTTTTTTGGGCTACTATAGGCCAGGAGTTGACTGCAATGAGCTATGAACCGGGCAAATTCGCAGCTTTATTTAAAGCCCTATAAAAAGCGAATCAAATAAAACGCTTGTTAATGACAGCCAACATTAACCCTATCCGCTGCAGCAGTGGAGCGGGGGTTGGAGGGCGTTGTTATTAGTTAATTGTGACGTAGGCAATCGCATTATAATGTGCCCACTTAATTGTTAATTGCTTTTCGAACACTTTAAATAAACAAAAAAAATAATAATAATAATACCCATAATTATCGCAATGGAAATCGGAATCAGAATCGAAATCGAAATCGGAATCCAATTGGGAATCGGCTTGGCATCGGCTGGCGCTCAAAACATAAGGGGAGCGGCGAGGGAGCCCTCCGTAATGTGGCTGTAAAACTGTCAGGCACAACGACTCGTAAACTGTAAATGGCTAACGACCGTAATGAGCCGCCGTTAACGCTAATTAAATAATAATAAAAGGACATTTTGGCAAATAAAATTCTTGTTTTGTTTTTTTTTTTTCGAATAATATTCTCTTTTATTTGTTTTTTTAAGTTTTTTTCTTTTGTTTTTTGTTTTTTTGCTTTGTTTTCTTGGTTTTAAATTTCTCTGTGTTTAAGTGTGTGTTTGTGTGTGTGTGTGTGTGTGTGTGTGTGAGTGTGTGGTTGTGTGTGTGTATTTGTGGGTGGAATGCACCGCTTTGTTGACTTGGTGCTTCCATTTGTTGTAGCATAATTTATTATACAATTGAGGGCATGGCTTAAACATTAATATTTTTTGTTCAACTTCATTGTCTTCTTCTTCATCATTAGCATTATCTTTATCTTTATCATAATCATTATCATCTGCGGACAAGTACTCTCATCTCCTTCGCTCTTTATGCATAGTTTTCGACATACCAAACAAAATAACTAAACAAATTTGTTTTTTTTTTTTTTGTATTTTAATTACACCCAAAGAAAACTAAAAGCAATTTTAAGTAATAGTTAAAAGTTTGCGTATTTATATTTTTGTTTTTTTTTTTTCATTTTCTTTTTGTTTTTATACAATAAAAAATTAAAAAACGGTCACTTCTATAAAAAGTTGTACGTATATCAAAAAACACGAAGCACGTTTTGTTTTCTTCCTTTTTTTGTTTTTTTTTGTTACACATCTATTATTTTTTGTTTGAAATAATTTCAGTTTTTTATTAAGTTTTTTTTGTTGTTTTTTTTTTTTGGACTTTTTTTCAAATTTACATCAATTATATATTTTACAATTTAGCTTTTGTTTTGTGTGTATTTGATTAATTTTCGTTTAAATTTTAAGATTTAGCTATGTGTGTGTGTATGTGTGAGGGTGTGTGTGTGTGTGGTTGTGTGTAGGTGTGTGTATTTTCGATTTGCTTATATAGAAAGTACAGTACTAAGTAACTAAACTTCATGTGCCTATTCATAAAATTAGCGCCTAGAAATTACAATTTATGTTTATTTCATGCTCTTCGCTTCATTTAGGTTTTGTTTTATTTTTTTTTGTTTGTCACTTCCATATTATTTCTTTTAATTGTATTTTTGTTTATGTTTTTTGTTTATTAAAAAATCTACAATTGCATTTAAAGCTAAAAATATGACTTAACTGTAGTTTTATTTACAGAATGTTTGCTTTTCATCTCATTTACTTTTTTGTATTCTTGACTAAATTCTAAGTTTTGTTTTTATGTTTTTTAACTTTTGTCATATATTTATATAGAGTACAATCTACTGGCTATATATCTATGTGTGTGTGTATATATATAACCTATAACCCTAGCTAGAACCGAGTCATCAGAGTCTGCGGTGGCGACTTGAACCACTTGAGCGCTACAATATTTATTAATTATATTCATTACATTGCCTTAAAAATTAAGTTTTGTTATTATGCTTTTGTTTTATTTTTTATTTTTTGCTAAATCTCTTAACCAAGACGGGCGACAAAGTGTTGCGAAATGTTAGCTAGGGGCAGGGGGGCGGGGGCGTGGTTGGTGGTCATATGGTTGTAAGATTTACCTTGGTTGATGGAATGCAGCTGAAGGCCAAAAGTTGCTTTTTTTAAGTATTTTCGCGCATTTCCCAACACTTGTCGCACTTTAGCTAGTTATCGATATTCGATTCGATCCGATTCGATTCGATTCGATTCGATTTTAATTCGTTTTCTTTTTTGTTTTATTTAATTTAGATTTAAAAACAACATCACTTGGTTTCACGTTTGATTTGAATTGCGTGTTTTTTTTTTGTTTTGTTTAAATTTTTACATCGAGTTTTAGAAAGTTTTTGAAACTTTGAAAGTTTGGAAACAAAAATAAATGTATGTATATAAAAAAGAAACGACAGGCAGAGGCGGCAGGCGGCGGTGCCAGGCTGTATATATATATATATATATATATATATATATATATGGATATATATATATATATAGAAGAGTATTCAACTAACCGATCGATCCACTGCCCTAACTACTACTTAGTTCAAGTTGTAACACAGATTAATGCACTGGTAAAAGTGTGGCGTGTGTGGAGCAGCCCTTGGACGACGACGACGACGACGACGAGGACGAAGATGTTGTCGCTTTTAGGGCTGCTCGCGCTTGCATTCCGGCCACCCGTCTGGCATTGTGTCCTAGGAGGACTCGTAACCAAACCAGGCGGCCGACGAATGCTATTCACCGCCCGCACCGCCGCCGCCAAAGCTATTGAAATGACGCACTGCACCCGGCGCGGCGGCAGCACCAAACTGCAGACTCAGCTCGAAGAGGCGACGGGCGTGCAGCTGCTGCTGCTGCTGCTGATGATGATGGTGCTGCTGATGATGATGGTGCTGGTAATGATGATGCTGGTGCAGTGCCGCCGCCGAGTGGGCATTCAGATTGAGATGTCCGCCCAGCACACTGGATGCCGAGCCCGGCGAGGCGGCGCTAGGCGGCTGCAGTGGCAGCCCGCTATTGCTGCCCGCCCCGGGCGAAAGCTGGGAGCTGCTGCTGCCGCCCGTCTGCTGCGATTGCAGATGCTGGGCGTGCGGATGTTGCAGCTGATCGCTGGTATGGAATAGGTGCGGATGATGCGCGGGATTCAGATGCGGATGCTGGTGCGGATGATGGGCATGGTGCGCGTGTTGGTAGCGCATAGGATCCATGTACATGGCAGCTGCTGCAGCGGCTGCTATGCTGGATGCCTGCTGTTGTTGTTGCTGTTGTTGTTGCTTCACTTGCTCCTCGTTGTTGTTGTTATTATTATTGTTGGTGCTGCTATTATTGTTGTTGTTATTGTTATTCGTCTGACCACCAGCTGAGGAGCTGCCCAAGGGGCTCTGCGGCGACATCACCTGACCCTGACTGGTCATCGTCACCGAGGAGCCCGCACTAGAAGAGGGCGTATTGGGCGTGAGCTGCTGCTGCTGCTGCTGCTGTTGTTGCTGCTGCTGCTGCTGCTGCTGTTGCTGTTGTTGTTGGTGTTGCTGTTGTTGTTGCTGTTGGTGTTGCTGCTGTTGCTGTTGTTGCTGGTGCAGACTGTTGGCAGGAGTGGACGCAGCTGCAGCTGAGTTCGACTCCTGGATTTCTGATTGCTAGTGAGCCGCCAATTGGTGCGCCGACTGCATGTTCTGGGGGCTCAGCATGGGCGGGCTGTGGCTATGCGAATGATTGCCCATGGGACTGCCGTGCATATCGTGGTGGGAGTGATAGCCACCGTGATGCATATGGCCCGGTGGCATGCCGTCCATCATATCGCCACCGAGCGTGTTCGGCGGCGTCATGCGCTTCTCCTTCTGTCGGCGATTGCAGAACCACACGCGCACCACCTCCTTCTCCAGCTGCAGCGAGTCCGCCAGCGATGTGATCTCCTGCGCCGAGGGTTTTGGCTGCTTGTGGAAATGCTGCTCCAGTGCGCCCTTAACGCTTACCTCGATGCTGGTGCGTTTCTTGCGCTTGCGTCCCTGTGCGGCGATCTTGTCAATGCTCGTCGGCGAGCCGGTGGTGGAGTCCGCCTCCTCGAGCCATTTCTGGAGCAGCGGCTTCAGCTTGCACATGTTCTTGAAACTTAACTGTAGAGCCTCAAACCGGCAGATGGTCGTCTGCGAGAAGACGTTGCCGTACAGGGTGCCCAGGGCCAGGCCAACATCCGCCTGGGTGAAGCCGAGCTTAATGCGTCGCTGCTTGAACTGCTTGGCGAATGCCTCCAGGTCGTCGGATGTGGGCGTGTCCTCCTCACCGCCGCTGATCGCGTCGCGATCGCCGCCGCCGCCGCCCATGTGATGGGCGTGTATGTGCAACTGTGGCGACTCGCCGCGTAGCGCATGATGCAGTGGCGCCACCTGCGCCGCATGATGGGCCGGATGATGATGCAACATGCCGTTCATGGCCGCATGATGATACTGCAGCGGCGATCCGCCGGTGGGTGCATAGTGACCCGCATGCGGGGCATGCCATGCGGCGGCTGCGTGCGGCGATGCCATGCCCTGTTGGATGCGCGTCTGCTGTGTCAGATGTGACATCTCCTGCTTGACGGAGTCAACGGCTGCGGCAGCGGCGGCGGCGGGATGATGATGCGTCGTATGATGTGTGGGCAGTGACCACGGATCCGGATGCAAGGCGCTCCAGCTACCCAGGCCCGAGCCGGGCGTCAGGCCGCCCAAACTGTTGCCCTGCCCGCCGCCCTGCACCTGTCCGTTGGGCGATGGCGACGACGGCAGCTGCTGCTGGTGGTGTGATGCCGAAGCGGCGGCCGCGGCAACGGCCGCATGATGATGATGATGATGCTGCATGTACTTCATCTCACCGGCATCGGCGGCGGATCGGGGCGAGGATGTGTGATAGCCACCGCCGCCGCCGCCGCCACCCAGCGCCATGTCGAGATCGCCGCTGGGCGGCGTCATATAGGAGGTAGCGGCCATCCCCACCGCTCTGGGGCTGTTCAGGCCCTCCACGCTGGCGGGGTAGGGCTCCAAGTTGGGGCTCAGTTTAACGACTTTGTAGACCGATCGATCGAAAGGAAGCCCTGAGTCCCTATGCTCATTCCACTCGAACCGTGAGGCAACCGTCTTGAAGTCTTTTACTGGCAACGTGGCGACGTAAATATGTGGGCGTGGCGGCCGATCGCGCGACTCGCACACACACGCAGCACACACTCAACACACAACCGCGCACACGCTCACACACGCAACACACCCACAGTCAACAAGTTTCGTCACCGACGGCCCGACGACGACAAAAATGTTGCACCGCAAAATTGTTGTGTGGATATTTCGTAAAAATTGCGCAGTTTATCAAAAAATTTACTTTCGATTTGGCTTTCGTATATATTTTATTTAATTGTGTGATTTATTTTTTTGTTTTCTTCTTCTTCTTGTAATTGTTGCACTTTGTTGCTTTTTTTTTTTTTAAACACTTGGCACTTGGACAATATTTTGCGTATTTCGTTGTTGAATTTACGTTATATTTGTTGCTGCTGCTGTTGTTGTTTCTGTTGCTTTTTTTGTTGTTGTTTATTTTTTTTTTGTATGATTGTTGTTGTCGTTGTCAAGTCACAAACACATCATCTTCAGCTGGATCGAGAAGAGCTTGATACAGATTCAGATGCGAGACGATATTCGGCATTCAGAATTGTGATTGAGATTTTTGTTGAATTCGGATCAGCCACACAGCGCACATAACAACAATAATAACAATAATATGAAATACACACAGAGAGACGGGCGCCCAGACACACACTGCTGAGGAGAGTCGAGTCTATGGGACAAATTCACGTGCAAACTCGTAGAGCTATCGAAGTGAACTAACGTCATGCAGCGGCCAGCGGCGCTACGTAGACGGCGCTCTCGACGGCGGCCGACAACGACGACAGCGACACGCACACACACACGCACACACACACACACACACACACACGGGCACACTCAGGCACACTCAGGCATACACGCACAGCTGTATTGGGCTCGCGCGGCGAAACCAGTTTTCAACCCGTGTCTTCCAATACGCTATGCGCGCAAGCGAGACGGCATGCGTGCGACTGTTTGAGGGCAGCACGTACAAGCGAGATGGCCGCTGAGAGCACACGTAACTGGAAGTCGACTTGCGCTCTATTGGGCTCAACGGCTGGCTGGCTTTCCAGTGCCGCCCACCAAAAAGCAAGCAAGCAAGCAGCGCGCATTCCCATGCAGAGTGACATTTTTAATTGCCAGGCAGCCGGCACAAGGGAGAGCGAGAGCGCAAGAGGCGCGCGCAGTGGCCTTTGTTAGACGCGACGCGAAAGCTTTTCCGCACAGGATTGCGCGCCGGCCACAGGAAGCTTTGTTCAGTTCGCTCTGGCACTTTGGGCTGCCAACTTTTGCTTTCATTTTGTTGGTGTGCTGTGTGTGACTGTGAGTGTGAGTGTGACTATGTGCGTCTGTGTGTGTATTATTATTTTTAGTGGGGCGTGTGCATTGGCAGCACCACAATGGGGCGGGAAATGCAACTGACAACCGACAACGGGCAATGGGCAACGGGCAACGGGCAAACGGGCAAACGGGCTATCTCTGCGATATCGGAGCATCTAACGCGTCCGAGAACAACTGTAAAATCAGTCGCACATTAATTGAAATGTATCGCGGCAATAAATTTGCATGCAAATGTTACAAATGTTTCAATCTTCGTCCAGTTTTCAGTTCGCAGCTTTTTGTTATGCATATCTGTCAGTTACTTTCAAAGAAAGGCCCATTGTCTATGCGAATACGTGTCTGACTGAGTGTGCGTGTGTGTATGTGTGTGGGTTGGCCTCTGTTTTGGTACTCGCGCTTTGTTTACCGTTAAGCATTCTCCTGTTTAGTTATTGATTTGCACAACGTGCTAATTTTCTTCCCAATTTTTATTGATTTTACATTTAACAGCATTTGCAAAAATGTAAAAGTCTTTAACTTCTTTTGTGCGCTTCTCTCTCCCTCCCTCCCACCATCTCTTTCTCCCTCTCTCTCTCTCTCAGCTTTGATTTAGTGGACAGTTAAAACAGCTTCAATGGCCTTTAAACCATTCTCTAAAATGAATGCAACAGTTCGAATACACTGCGCAAAAAAGGGAGCATAGAAGTTCGCTTGCCAGAGCTTGTGACTGGGTCTAATAATATAACACTTGGGTTTTGCCTGGGAAATACTATGCCATAAGGTATTTTCTGATTTGCGGGGGGTTTTCTGAATAATTTTCGAACAATTAACAGCTATCTAAAGTTTTTAAATGGATTTATTAACTGTTAATAGCCTTAAGTGAGGCCTATATTTTATTTTTTAATTATAAGCGTACTTATTTTAATTTTCCACACTTCAAAGCATGTGATCTTATTAAAATGATGTTTTTCTAATGCTTCATACATCATATTGTGATTTTCTTATACTTCCTCTAGCATATATAAAATATATGGCATTCAATTATAACATTATAAATTATATTAGTTAGTTGGGTTAATATAATATTTTTGAAATTTTGTTCATACACATGGAATGCCGCTTTTAAATATCTCTATTCATTGATTTGACATCATCCATGTCAGCTCTTTAGCCAAAATTTCTAAACTTAGGAACACATCATTTGTTATTTGCGCCCCATAAAAATTGTATATAGTACACATTTGAGCAACCTGTTCCAAATTCTTCCAATCATCAACTAATTGCTTAAACCTGTCCAAATACGTGCAAAATACTTTATAATTTTTTACCATAAACTCTGCTCTATTCATACACACTCTTTCTCTTTCTCTTTCTCTCTCTCTCTCTGGCTCTCTCCTTATGCAATGCACAACTCTTGCGGCAGGTCAAGCGTCCAGGTTGTGTCAAAAATTATGCAAACTAAGGTCAACGCCATCAACAACAACAATCACACACAAGCACACACACACACACACACACAGACGGACAACATTTGCATCAGTTTGTTTACATTTTGTTGTTGTTTATTTTTTGTCCTTTGGCCACACACTTGGGCATAATTAATAAGCCAGAGACGGAGCTAAACAGTCGCCGGCGCCGTCGCCGCGTCAAAGTTTTGTCACCCAACCGAACAACAGTCCTTGGGCGAATTTACATGATAATTAGGCGGGCGCCGCTTAAAAATTAAATGAAAAAAAAAAAAAAAATACAACCTAAAACGAAAAAAATATATTTAAATTTCAAATGACGAAAAATCCTGTTTATGCCGCACCGCCAGCCCCGTGGCCCTCGACGTATGCTAAATGCGCACGCGCCGCGTTTGGTTTTGTGGCCGTGGCAAGGACTTGTTGCATAATTATGCGCCGCATGCGAGTAAATAGCACTGCACAACAACAAAAGCAAACGCAAAAAACAAAAACCATAACTAAGCGCTGTATTTATGAATGAAGATCTCGCCTCTGCCCCTCTTTCCCTACCTCTGCCCGCCTCTGGCGCCGTTGATTTGGATGATAATGAGGCGCGATTAGCATTTTGGCTGCATTTTTTTTTTTTGTTGCGCTCGGCTCCGGTTTGAGCTCGCGAACGGGTATCGGGCCTCTCGCACCTAGCTGTCTGCTCGGCGCACTTGCTTGATAATTATTAGCATAATTTTCTTCTTATTTTGCATTAATTTGAGTGTGCGAGCGTGTTTGTGTGTATTGTGGTTGTGCCACCGAAAACAAATTTTGGCATCTGTTGTTGGCAATTAATTTTGGCCATAATTTGTAGACCAGATATAAACTGGTCTCATTTTAGACGCTTTATTTGCCGCGCAATACACAATTAAGGCGCTGCAAGGGAGGCCACTTTTGGGCAACTCTTTAGCGCCTAATTGTTGTATTATTTAACGCTTAAAAGCATTAAAAAAGTCAGCAAGTGTACGCAAATTGATAGAGAGAACGTTAGACGAAAAGCTGCGGGGACTCCTAATGAAACCTTGCTTTGGCTTGGGCAAGTTTTATGAAATTCGATTGATAATTGATGGATAAAGAAACCTTAGCTGTGAACAAATTGATTTAAAGAAGTTTGATTTCTATGGGCTAGTTATAAGTCCGATAATTTGCATACAAAGTTTAAAGGAAAATGCAAAAGGAGCTTATGAGACATTTCCTAAAAAAACCCTATCCCAACTCTGCTCTGGTCAAATCTATATTTAGAAGCTTGTTTGCCTTGGGCTTGAAAAGAAATAACTACAACAGTTTGTACTGCCAGGAAAATCCTTATATATATACCAATTCTAACTGCAGCAATTCGCAAAAACTTGATTTCTATGAGCAAGTCATCAAAAATCATATATTCTGCAGCGCATATCATCTCCGTGCCATTATCATAGCTGCTTTCAAACCCTTTACCCAGCTCATATGCATTTTTAATCCTGCTCTTCGTTTGCAAACAAAACGTTTCATTAGCCAATGTCAAGACTCAGCTGCAGTTTTCATGGGCAATCCAAAAGACAGCGACACACAAGAACCCATCCCAGCAGACAGTCGAGTCGGTCAACTCTTTACCATATGCCCAGAGAGCAGGCACAAAGGAAACCAGAAAAATTGCGCGCCAAAAAGTAGCACACTAATACACACACACCACGCACACACATCAGACTCTAGACAACAAGCAGCCTTCAATTGAAGAAGCTAACCAAGACAGGAGCTGAAGACAACCCTTTGGCTGGGCTACCCTTACGACAAGGTCAGACGAGCTGCACACGTAGGCAAATTTGCTAGCAACTCAAGACACAAACTTCCCCCCCCCCCATCCTTCTCCCTTCCCTGGGTCTGCTTTAACTGCGAGATGCAAGCAACCATTTATCATTTTTTTTGGCAATTTGAAATTTTGTGCAATTTGGCGATTTTGCGATTTTGCATGCAACGGCCGTTAAAGTCTCTGCTGGCTGCAATCAGGACGCGGCGCTTATCCTTTGGCCTTTATCCTTTCACTTTCGCTACCTACAAACACACACACGCACACACACACAGAGCACCCCAGCAGTTTGCCAAATTCCAACACAGACACACACGCAGGACTCACTGTCATATGCAAATTAGTTGAGCCCTAAAAAAAAAAAAAAGAAAAGAAAAATAGAAAATTTTCGCGTCCCGCCAAAACATAAAATACGCAAACGGAACACAAAATGGCAATTGTTGTTGCCATACTTATGGCCTCTCCCCACCCGAACCCCGACCCGCTGCTGGGCCTTCGTCTAACCCATCGGCAGTTGGGTTAAATGCATTTTGGTGCGCCTCATTGGCTTTGGCATTGAGCGACGCGACTCGCAACTGTCAATGGGACCAGGCAAAGGGCAAATATGCAAATTAGTTAGCGTTTTATTTTTTTTTATTTATTAACTAATTTATCTCTGCGCCGCTGTGACACGTCCGCGTCCCATAGGCAACCCGCCAGGGTCGTGAATTATTGGCGAATGGCGGAAACAACGCAGCAAAAAGCGTTGCAACACCTGGTTAGAAATATTTTTTCTCATTCGCGTTTTTTTTTTGCCGCGGTTTTTTATTGCCTGACATGTGGAGTGCTCTGCCTTGCCAATCAGGTCGCTAAGTAGTTAACTAAACGATTGTGTCCTTTCGCATGGCTGTGTTCTTTCGAAAGGAAGGAGGCTACGAATAGCTTTTCAAATACATTTCGATAGCCAGGCAAAAACTCAGTACCTATTTATTTATAACACAATTATTATTACTCTGTGCATTAATATCATTTATTTAAAAAAAAATGCAACACAATTAAGAGTAAAAGAATTATATACTTGAAATAATTTTATTAATATTATTATTCATTACATTAATTATTTAATTTAATTTAATTTAAATTAATTGTACCTCGATTAAAATT